CAAAAAGAAACTCACAGATCATTAAGGACTCTTTTCTACAAAACAATTAAGGAATCAACACCTTATAATTGTGATAATTTTTTTAAGAAAAAATTAATTTATATATAGATATCAATACCAGAGCAACAAGGGGGTATCACCTTTCCAAAAAAGCTTTTTTATTTTAAATATATATATATAAAGTGTGTGTGTGAAATGTGCATTAATATAGGCAGTAAGGGAATGCCGCCGATGTAGAAATTTATATGTCAATCAAAGTATCAACAAGGCCTGAAAATTCTCCATAAAATAAAGAGGATGACCACCATAACACATAATCAAGGGTCTGGAACCTTCTAATATGAATATCAAAACCATTTCCACTCTCAACCCCATCAAAATCCTTTCTATTCCTCTCCTTCGCAACGCCTAAAAGATAGAGAACGAAATCAGATCCACTTGTTTTCTTTGGCCTTTGATGCCCTTCCACATCCAAATCTCTTCTCTCACCGAACCTGCCATCACCATAGGGCATAATCCACAACTTATAAACACAGGACAAGAAAGCAAACTAAGATTACAAGTCTCCTCAACCCTCTTCAAAAGATAATAAATATTGACCAGTATCTTTCCCTTTTTTCTTAAATTATCAGTAGTGAAAAAACATTCTCTGCTAACCTCCCAAGCAAAAAATGAAACACGGGGAGGGGCTCTGATTTCTACATCTGTCTGAAAGGAAAAATAATGTCATCATCTTCATACACAAACAATTTCTTGTAGAAAGGTTTAACTAAGAAAGACCCATTTGATGTAAGACACCACCGTGGAGTATCAATGCTAGCATCCAACGTAATAAGGGATAACATGGCCAATAACTCCTCATATTCTCCACTTTCCCAGCTGTTGAGATTTCTCAACGCTAGCACTTGCCATTCCTCCTCACTAGTATCGCTCTCCACTAAGGAGTCACAAACCTTGATCTCTTTCTGCTGGGCTATTGTATAAACCAAGGAAATAGTGCTCTAAGAGTTTTGCCTTCCATCCACTTATCCTCCCGTAAAATAATTCCATTCCCCCTATCAACCTTCCACCTTATACACTCCTGGAAGTTTTCCCATCCTAGGCCAATCTTTTTCCACAAGCTTTTCCCATGTGGTCTTGAACTCTCTCTCATAAGCCAACCCTTTGTCATATATGCCTTATTTTGTACTATAGGTCCACAATGCATCTTCTTCTGTTATAAATCTCTAAACCATTTTACCCTACAAAGCCTCGTTCATCTCCAACAAAGATCACAAAACCCAAGCCATCAAGGTATTTTAGTTTCTTAAGTTCACTCCAAGCCAGCAAATGAATGATCTTTCACCCGTGTCATCCCACAAGAACTTAGTATGAATGGTTTCCAATTTTTTAGCTGCACTTTTGGGGATGGTTAAATAGACATGTAATAGATAGGAAAGATTGCCCAAAGTACTTTTGTTGAGCAAAAGTCTTCCCCCTTTTGACAAGTACGTTATCTGCTCGACTGCGTTATCTCCTCAACCTAATCCCTCACCTCCACTTTTAAGCCTCTAAATACCTCATATTCCTTGGTTCTTATAAGCATACCATTCAAACCCTCCATACCCACTATAAAAAGCACTGGAGATAGCAAATCACCTTCTCTCGACCCTCAAGAAGCCTGAAGATAAAATAAAGAACCTTCAATAACAAGAACGGCAAAGAAAGTAGTAGTGATGCAAGCCTTTATCTAGTGACTCCATCTCCCCCCAAAACCCATCCTTGAAAGCATATAATCCACAAAACACCAATTCACGTATTTATAAGTTTTTCCATATCTAACTTACATAACACCCCTTCCTTCCTCCCATACATCAATTCATCAATCACTACATTTGCAATGAAGGTTCTTCTAACAAGGACCTTGGCAATTAGCTTATAGATGCAACCAACAAGACTGATAGATCTAAAATCCCTAATGTTCCGGGCCCCAGCAAACTTAGCAATGCGTACAAAGAAAAATTCATTGAGGGATTTAACAAAAGATCCAGCTTCATACAACTCTTGAAAGAGATCCACAATGTCTTTCTTCATTATAGGCCAAAACTCCTGAAGAAAACCCACGTTGAAGTCATCCGAAACATGAGTCTTATCTCTTCTACATGACATAAGACCATCAAAAATCTCCTCTTCTGAGAAGTCTCTCTCCAACTCTACTCTACTTGATTCATCCAAGGTCTTGAAATCAATGTCATCTAGATTTGGTCTCCAATCCACCACTTGCAAAGCCAACAAAAATAACCCCTCATCCCCCTTCTTAACTGCTTATTACACATTACAACTCTATTATCAATCTCCATCGACTCCTCATAGTTATTTCTTTTGTGATAATTGGCCAAACAATGGAAGAAACTGGTGTTACAATCCCCCTCCCTAATCCATCTATCTCTCGACTTCCGTCTCCAGAGGTCCCTTCTATCTGTAACTTGAAAGCAACTTTAACTTTTGAAGACTTTGTTCTGATCATGTCTTC